AAGTATAGAAAAGACAGAGCCAAGTCACCCAAAAGAAGACCCCACTCTAAGGCCCAAGATACCTCCCACATAATTGGTTATTCCATCAAGATGAGGCAGGTGAGATGCAGGATGCTGGTTTGGAAGAGCTTGAGTGGGGGCAGACCAAGTGGTTGCTGAGTGTTACCACTGCCTGGCAAGGTTAGTCTGGCCACAGGATGGTCTAAATTTATTGCATGATTAACCAGTTAATTGTGTGATAATTACTTTGTGCTTGTGGCTGGTTTTACGTTGCATGTGTGACTGGTCAAAATGTATTGCACAATTGACTGGTTAATTGCAAAATATATGTAATGTGTAGCAGGGGTCTTGGGTATCTTCCTTATTCTCCTGCTAATATCTTGCTAGTATGAAAATACAAAAAGAAAAATATACTATGTGTAGCTAAATCTGAATTATACAGAGCATACTCTTGACATCCATGCTGGTTCCAGAGGTAAATAGGAAATATATTATTGCTGTGGTTTTCATTACATGCAGAGATTTAGCCCAAGACTTGGTTTGTTATTATTTGCATTATTATAGTGACAAGGAGCCATGCTGAAGGACTGGAAGTGTACCACACAGAACAATGTCTAGCAATGTAGTTTTTACCTAATCACGTATTGCTATGTGAAACATCTGTATTTAAGTTAGCATAGATATGTAAACGTGTGGAGTTGACAACTGGTTATGTATTATCTTTATGCCACACAAAATTGCAGAAAAATATAGCAATAGTAGAAAGTGGTTAATGGTGTACTTTGAAAAAAAAAAAAGAAAAAAACACAAAACCCCTCAAAAAAGCAAATGCCCAACTTTATAAATGGTTTAAGTACCCAGTTCAGTAATAGAATTTGGGCCAGTTATTTTAGCTAGGCTGTGCACCTGCAATTGTATACACATATTTGCATATGCATAATTTAACTAAGCAAATAACTGTTGCCTGCAGACAAATCAACTGTTCTGCAGACCAAATTATACTTCTTAACCTGCCATCTCCCTGCAAGGGCCCCATTTTTTTGTTTTTTTATCAAGTATTTCCACCTACCAGTTAGAGATATTTGTCATATGTTGGTATAAAACCTAGTCCAGTAACTTTTAAATAGACTTCACTGGATTTTGGTTCTTGTCTATGCCTGGGCAGCAGCATGGGTTGACCCGTAGCACACACTATTCACCTGTTCCCACAGGTATGCTCCAAAACTAGTAGTTCTGTCCTTGGTGTTTGGATTTGTCACCAGTAGCTGCTCTCTGAAGCATGCCAGAAACTGATGCTGCCTATACATGTGCTCAGGGGTGGGGTGGGGGAATTTTAATTAGAGCAGTTCCTGGAGAGCCATTCTAAGTAAAACACTTTGCCATCACATGTATTAATCCCGCACAGATTTTAAAATGGCCACAGGATGCTTTATCTAAACTTCATTCAGCAAGGTTTAAATAAAGTGTCCCAGCAGCCATTTTTAAACCTGTGGGGGCTTGTACACATGGTGATAAGGCCACGCTGCAGTATTCTAATTAGCATGTGGAGCAGATGCAGACTCAATTAATCGAGTCTGCTCTGACGTGTTCTAAGCAGAATACAAACCGACACCCTGAGGTCTTGACAGCAGCCACAAAGGGTTACCCCTGAGTAGCCACACTGGTGTATTTCCAGGTGTGGAACATGTCATCAAGGGGGGGTGGCCAGCACATGTTTGGGAGCAACTAGCTGCAGGGTCACTGAAGTGCAGATAAACTTTTATGTCTGAGATAATATCTCTTTAGGTCCTGCAGTATTATAAAACTACACAATTTATCATAGTTAATAGAGATGTTACGATAGGAGGTAAGTGTGCTTTTAGTACTCAAAATCTCAGGTCCAGTCTCTACAGATAACAACATGTCTGTATGTACACAAGCCATGTACAACATTCCCAAATGCATACCTGAAAATGTGAGATGGGTGAAAATCTGAATCTAGTTCTATAGATTCAATCTGGAATGACAAATTAATACAGGCTGCTGGAATACTATTTCCTTCTAATTATCTTCCCAATGCACACAGGTAAGGGAGTTTCTATGTTTTGTCTTCTACCCTTGAGTTGCTAACTTTTAAATTCTCATTAGGAACATATAAAATGCACTGCTCTGCTTTAGGCACTTTACTGAAGTCATCAACTATATCAAAAAGAGAATTGTGAAGTCATATCTTGACAGAGAAAAAGATTTAAAATTCCCCTTTAAATTGAAGCAGAAAGTTTTGAAAATGTTGCAGTTCAGTTCCTATTCATTTAGTGCTTTGTTTCCTTGGTGGATTGCCACAATGTGACACCAGTGATAACAATGGATTTTTGGTTTTGGAGGATCACATTACATATACACTTCATGTGGGAGATCTGGAGATGTTGAATAATAATATACAAATACTGATATGTTCATAATTTACTGAACAGTGAATGTGACTTGGCCAGTGAGGTGATATTACTTAAATATAGGGTTTTTACACTTTCCTGTATGAATGCATTAATCTAGTTTAACAGGAAGAAACTGGAAAAATAGGCAGGAAAACAAGACACTAAATCTAGTTAAGCAGGCTCCCAAGAAATAGTGGGAGAGCAATTTCCAGACAATGCCATACTTACAGGCTGTAGCTCAGCTTATCAAGACTGCCTTGACAGACCTGGGAATGGAAAGATCAAGGAGTCTAGCCAATTACAAAAGGATGCTTTGCTTGCACGTGTGTGTATGTGCATGTGTGGTGACCAGGGGACTGTGCAAGATTTACTGTGACTCCCCCTGTAACTGATGGGGGGAAAAAACCTGATTTTGAGTTCAAAGAAGAGACTGTCACTTACGCCGTAGGGTTCTTGTGAGGTTTTTTAGAAAGCTCTGACCTACCACAATCCTCTAGCTGATAAGCCTGACATTCATATAATCTGATTTGTTATTTTAGGATCTCTTTGTTTTTCAGAAATGCTTTGGTTTGAAATAAGCAGCACAATATATATCAGGCCAACTGAAGTAAGCACCTGCTGCCTGCAGTCCAATTCCCTGTCTGAGAATGGGGGAATCTCAGGATTCTTGTCTGAGAGAATGGTGATGGTCCTAGGCCAATGGGGGGTCCGAGGGGCAATTAGCTTTGTTCTTGTGATAACTCAGGCCTGGTGAGTTGGCAGGTTGGGACTTACGAAAGTGTGAATATTTTGAGTTTCTGAAATTTCTCCTTGCTCTATGAGGCAGAATATCATTTTAGATTAGAATTGTATGGCCCAGAGATCAGGAATGGAGCTTCATAAACAAAAATCAATGCCATACGGCAAAGCAAACTTGTGGGAAAACGGAATTGCACTGAATTTCAAGAGCTAATAGAAACTGGTTCAAATAAGAAGTAAAAATGTGGTATTATTGTATTAACACTATTCAAATGAAGCTCTCGGTCAGATGAAAGGATATTAGAAATAAAATATTAAGGCAATTAGTAATAGATATACTTTGAATACAAGGTTAATTAGTTTCATTTGCATGCTGTTAATTATTAAAAGTAATTAGCTCTGAGATACTTAAGGAAGTGCTCTCACTAAATACTTTTAAGATGTAACATAAAGACTCTTAAATTTTGCTGCCAGCAGTGCTCACATATAAACCCTTTACAAATATATGGTGCCTTGGGATATTTGCATAATAAGGCATTTTATAAAACTGATCTCCACAGTTTTGCCCTCCTAATATTGTGATTCACGTTTCTGGAGCTGACGTTATTCTCTGTCTTCAAGACAGATCAGGAGGACTAAAACATTAGCAGTAGCATAAGATTTCTGAATCAAATCCTATCCTGAAGCAGAACTGAAAGAGATCATCTAATTGTTTGAAGTCAGAACTGTATCATCCTTTGCCCTTAATGCACACATGATAATTCAGATGACATTTAATTATAGGAAAGGCCTAGACTAATACATATTTAATCTGTACAGCAGCAGCATTCTCCAGGTGCTGTGAGATTGTCCAGGGAACAAGCGGCAAAACATGTAGTCTGTGTCTAGAACAAAGTAAATAATTTGCAGCCAAAACTTTCTTCAGCTAAATTTTACCTCGTTTCCTGCTAGCATTTTGTGATTTCCTCAGATTTATTTGCTGTTTCATAAATGTACATTCAGTTTTTTTGTTCTGTTGATTAATTGCAAAGATTCTAACCTTGAGCTGTGTTGCTTCATTATAAATGGACAAATCTATTTTGTTTATTTGGGTGTTTTTGATGGGATGACCAAGTATGTGTTAAGGGGACCAGTGGTAAAATTCCCATCAGAATTAGCTCATCGTGATTAGTAGTAAAATGTATTCTTCATATTTTTGTGGAATGCGGCCATGAAAGAATGACAGGACTAGCTGAAGTAAATCCATTGAAAAATGTGAGTGAATCTGAAGGGAGTTGAAAATTGCATTTACCATCAAGTTCTCAGAGCCAGTGTAGGTTAATGAGGTGACTGGTGTCATTAACACCTGATATGTGACTTGCTGCTTATTGGATAGGAAAGCAGTATGATGGAGCAGATAGTGCCAGCATGTAAAACGATCCACATTTAACTTTATAAAGACTGTACAAGCTTGGAACCATTAATGTAAGCCATTATTGAGCCCCAGTTAATTTTTCTTCAAAGGCACATGCTGTAAAAAATCTTACTGTGATCTGTGCCTTGAGCAAGAGATTTACATGGAATAACAAAAAGCAATGCTCCAAACGTTTTGCCTCCAGCAGAGAAAGCAAGGATCAAGCACTAATGGTGCTTCCAACTTTGTTCTCTTATATTGCTGATAATGGAAGAGCTGTCTGGGGGGTTGCTATGCAACACCCGGAAGTGTGATCTGACATACGTAGGCTTTTTACTAACTGACTGTATTTCTCATATATGTTTATCTGTGCTTTCCTTTTTCTTTTTTTTAGAAAGATGTGGGACACGCTGAAGACCTTCTTGTCACTTGAAGATAGTGAAGCAATTTCAGACAAATCAGAAAAATGATGTGTAGGAAGATAAATTCTAGCTGCACTGAACATACTTTTGACATGCTGAGACCATGCGAGATGAAACCCAGTTTTGAAAAACTGATGCTGTCTTAGAATCAAGTATTATAATGCAACTTTAATAAGATAAATGTGTGTCAGTATTTGCACAGATTATCATGGGTGTAGACACTGATATTTCCATATGCCATCTAGAGAAATGCCCACCACTAATAATAGCAATAGTATAAATAGTGGTGCCTTTCCTTATATAGTCTTCAGTAGAAACGGCCCTCATTTAGTAGTGGAACCTTTATTCAAGGCCCAGATATTTAATTAAACTCCCACAGTAGAACTCACAACTGCAAGTTATTTAAGTAAATTGAAGTTGCAGCTTCTAGAAATGATATACACGTATAATTTTGTGCATATTCATTGTTGTGAGTATTAGATTCAAGCCTTGAACCTGGCTGATGCAGAGGGATATGGCATAGTGGCAATGCCCCCTCCCCTCAGCAGCTTTTTCTTTTCCAGAGTCTCAGTTTTCCCTTTATACATCTCTAATTGATATGTTTGCAAAAAGAGCCTTGAAAATAGGAACCAAGTGTAGCCGAGGTAACTTGGGTATACACTCCCCTTCTCCAGTTGAAGGGGATTGTTAGCTGGCAGGTGTGCTGTGGGGTGGGAACTGCAGATCACTCAGTTTCCCTCTGTCCCTATAGAACCAGGCCAGCACCGTCAGGGGACTTAACTATATACACATTTATTTACATTAACTTATCACAAGAGAAAAGAACATGGATATAAACATATGTACAATGTATGTATACACTTATAAGATATCTAAACCAGTTACATAAACAATACCCTCTGGGTAAATGACATAAAACCTTATACCAGCGCTCTCATATACAGGTACATATCTGATCTGAAACAGATAAACCCCAAAGATAAACTTAATCCTGAGAGGGAACCCCAATGCCCTTGGGCTTTTCCCAAGCCCTACAAAGAAGCTGGTAACTTTAAGGGGGCCTTCTCAGTGGGACCTCCCCTTTTAGGAGCCCTTAACTAACCAGGGGGGGACTCCCCTCCCCTGTGGGAATCCTCTTTTCCCTGCAACTCACAGCTCCCAGGCTTGGAAGATGGTCCTTGTCCCCTGTGCCAAGCTGCTCTCTCGTGTGCAGTGGGCTTCGGGGTGTGGGGGGGTGGTCACTGTGTCCTGGAACAGGGATCCTCTATGCAGGGCTTCTGGGGCCTCTGGCTTGGCCCTGTCCGCTGGCTCAGTAGCTTGATCACCACCTGGCTTTCTGAACTCAGCCTTTTGCTATCGGTCAGAGGCCTGGGCAGCACCAGGCTCGGTCAGCTCCCAGACCCTCTGTGCAGTGCCTCCTGCACCAAGCTCCCAGCCTTGTGCTGGGGGTTGAGGACCTGAGCTGCCCAAGTACTCCATGCACCATCCTGTGCACATGTCTCTGGCCAGACACCAGAAATTGCAGACCGGAGCCACCTCACGCAGTTCCTAGGGTCTGGACACCATGTGCCGTGCTGCACGCTGAGCACCTAGCTGCTGGAGCCGTCTGCCATTCCCTGCTGATGGAAGTCTTCAGAGGTGCTTCTGGACTACTGCTTTGCCCTGCTGAGCAGCTCTCCTCAGCTCTTCTAAGCCCTGCCCTTCTCTCTTCTCTCTCCTGGATGTGCTCTCCTAATGCTGGGCACACAGCTCCTTGTATATGCTCCAGGGCTCCGCCACTGAAGTCTTCTGGACCTGAGTGTTGCAGTCTTCAATCAGGTCCATGGGGGGTTGGGGGGAGAACTCCTCTCCCCCTCCTCTCAGGAAAGGGGCATGACTGCACTCCTCTTGCTGCCTCCAGATTGGGGCTTCACCAATCAAAACAGCAAGATTTCGAGCCTGGGACTGAACCCAAGCTCCAAAAGGCAAGCCTGCTACACAAGTATAAATGAAGCAGCAGTGGAAGCTTGATTTTGCACAGGATCCTAAAAATGCTGTAGAGATGTGAACTGTCCTATTCATCTCACAGAGGTGGTAACTCCAGTGTCAGTGGGGATACTCTAAATGCCAATATTGCTTACTCTTTAAGTGCTCATCAAAGCATGTAAGTAAAACAAAAAGAGGAAGGATCATATTGTGAAGACATGCAATGTGAGAGCAGCAGCACACTTGGTGCAATATATGTTTGAGTTTGGGGAGAGCACCTCTATATATGTGCTTCCTGGTTAGGTAGGACACAAACCCAAAGAGCCCAGTAAGGCATGCATACTTCATGGTGAGAAAGATGGTCATGGTAGATCGTATGAGTCTGAGGGGCAGTTGCATGCAATGTGGTTAGAGAAAGCATATAAGAAAAAGCCAACTTGCTAAATGGGTATTTTGCATCCATTTTTTCACCAGTCCCAAGGGGCGCCCCTGCCCGTTATGGGATGAGAATGCCTGGGTGAGGCTGATTCCTTACCCTCCATCAGTGCTGATCTTGTGAAGGAATACCTTGAGAGGCTGGACACCTTCAAGTCAGCTGGCCCTGACAGTTTACACCCTAGGGTACTCAAGAAGCTGGCAAGCATCATAACTCAGACCCTGGCACAGATCTTTGAGAACTTCTGGTGCTTTGGTGAAATGCCCAAAGACTGGAAGAAGGCCAATGTGGTGCCTATCTTCAAGAAAGTGAGGAAAGTGGATCTGGGAAACTACAGGCCCATCAGCCTGACCTCTATCCTGGGGAAGGTCTTAGAAAAGATTATCAAAGAGACCATTCTTAACAGACTGGCCGATAGGTCTTGCTTGACCAATCTTATTTCCGTTTATGACCAGGTGACCTTTCACTTGGACAAGGGAGAAGAGATTGATGTCATGTATCTTGACTTTAAAAAGTCTTTGATTTGGTATCCCATGATCACCTCTTGGCAAAACTGGCCAACTGTGGTCTTGGCTTCACCACAATCGGCTGGCTGAGGTATTGGCTCCATGGTCGGACCCAGAGGGTGGTGGTTGACGGAAGTCAATCGTTGTGGTGCGCTGTGACCAGTGGGGTCCCTCAAGGCTCTGTCCTTGGGCCAACACTATTCAACAT